GATGGATGGGATGGGGATGGATGGATTGATTTGAAGGTTTTGTATTGATTGATGGATTGGGTGTTGATTACTTAGGGTGCGTTCGGTTCGTTTTCTTATTTATTTGGAGAAATTTATAATGTTGTTAAGGATGCGTTCGGATCGATTTATTTCGGTATATTTCACTTATTAGATCTTATTTATTTAATAAATAATACTTATTAACTTAAATAAGTGTTAAGGTACGGGTAAAGACTTATATTATATCATAAGGGTGGAAGAGCTATGGAAGGGTAAGGCCCTCTTATAGGAAGTAGGGTATACTAATGGTGTATGTTTGAGGCATGAAGGCAATGTAGTTGGCATTGTGATAGTATTTCCCTTTTAGGGCTTGCTTGTTCTAAGCAAGCTAAAATACAATCTGGCTAACTTTGTTAATTTTCGGTAAAGTTGTAATAAGGAATTAATCTGTAAGGCTAGCTTATTATTGTGTTTAAATTAAATGGATAGCAAATTTGATTAAATAAGAATCTAAAATCTCTTAGGATAATATTAGAAAACTCTGATTTCTGTTATAGGGTTGAAGTGAATTCTTTTAAGGCTTATGATTAGCTAGTTATTCTTTTTTAGCTTATTCTGTTTTTGTTTTGGAATTATACTTGATATAGGATTATTTGAGATAATAGACCTTTTGAATCCTATCTATATAGACGGATCCGGTTTATTTGGATTTGTTAGGTAAAATGTAATAATTGTTTCTTTTTGGTCTTTGAGATTCTTGGCTGGTTATTATAATAGTGGATAATGTTTTCATTTGACTTGATAATGAAATCTGTTTTTATTATAATAATCAAGTAATTTATTGAATTCTTATTGTTCGGTTTCTTCATTTGTATTATTATCTTTTTCTAGGATTTGATCTTGGTTATAATAGGATTCTGTTTTATTGATTATAGTTTGGCCGATTAATCTAATTGAATTATAGAGTGGCTTGAGTAGTGAATTGTGAAATACTGGAAAGATTTTGAAAGTAGTGGGTAGTTGGAGTAGGCAGGTATGTTTATAAATTTTTAGAATCTTATAAGGTTTGATTTATTTATTATTACTTTTCTTTATAGGTTAATTAGTTTTTATATTCTTAGTATTAATTTATATTATATTCCTTTTTTTATATAGAGGGGTATCGGTGTGTGTTTTGTTTGTGTAATCTTTGTATTTCTAAATAGTTTGGGTGGCTAAAGTTTTCAGTTTCGTTAAAATGGTATCGAACCGATTTGCGATCTTGTTGGCTTTCAGGAATTTGTGCTTTTGCTAGTATAAAAGGTTTGGTGGGATAGGTGAGGAGGGTTCGATTTCGAATTGTAGATAGAAATTATAGTTAGTGAAGAATGGGGATATATTGGTAGTTTCTGAAATAATATTGTTGAATGCAAACTCTATTAATAGTAATTAGTTATATTAGTTATTCTGGTAAAAGTTTATAAAAGCTTGTAAGTATTGTTCTATTATGGTATTAAATCTCTTTATTTGATTGTTCGATTTGGGGTGGAACGAGGAAGATTGTTTTAAGGTGATTGATAAGTGTTTGGAGAGATATATTCAAAATATTGATATAAATTGTGAGTCTTTGTTAGATACGATATTATTGGGTGTATTGTATAAGCAATAGACTTTCTTAATAAAGTAGTTAGTGAGTTCTTTTGTAGATAGTCTAACTATTGATATGAAATAATGTATTTTTGTTAAGTGGTAAACAATAATAATTATGTGATTGTATTTGTAGTTGTAATGTTTGTAGATTGGTAATGGTGTAATGTAGTTAATGAAGATATCAAATCAGGATCGAAATAGAATTGGTAAAGGTTTGAGGAATTTGGGGGTTATAAGGTAAGAAGATTTTGTATGAAAATATAGTTAACAGGCTTGTATATAAGTTTCAATTTCTTTTGTTATATTAGGCTATTAATATATCCCCTAGACCGCTGAATACGGCCGGCATATGTGGCCCGTGCACTGAGCCCAACCATCAAAATAATAATTCGTGATATTGATATTCAATAAAACAACAAATACGGTATACGCGATTATTCAATCAATATGCCTCCAATTGATGTACAATTTAATTCAACTGATACAGGAACACTATGTTTAGATATTACACCAACTTCAAAAACAGGGGGGGGCTTTATATCTATGGAATTCGTCGATTTCGATCGAAAGCTATCCCTACCAGTCAATATTCGAGGTTATGATGTACTCAATCTATTTTATCTTTACTTTCCTTTAAAAATAATGGAATCGATTGTAGAATAGACGAATTTATATATGCGAATACCGAAAAATAAAGAACTTTCGAATTCGTAAGTATTTTTATGGTATTCTACAACAACAGATAAGGTTTATTTGTATTTGAACATACGTATATATATGATGTTGTATATCGAATTTAAGATTGAAACTTATTGGGAGCAATTTGAGGAATCTAATAAATACCCTTTTATTTGTTTCATATCAAGGGCAAGGTTCGAGGAGATTTATATGAGGTATCGTATTGGACTCCCTGGAATAAGCGATGTTTTCGAAAGAGTAAGAGCTTGCCATTCAATTTGAATTTTATATACTAATATGTTTCTTCCTAGGTAGATTCATTATCAGATTATATTCAACAAGTCAATCTTTCAATATAGAGGCCTCAGGGTCGAATTTCAGTTGACGAATGTATGGTGCGGTATAGTGGTCGATCAAGTTTTATCATTACTATTAAAAATAAATCTATCTTTACAGAATTAAAGGTCTGGGTAACAACAGATCGAGACTTCTTTATAATATAGAATTGATATAAAACTGGTATTAAGAATAATCCTGTAGGTATAATGATACCCCCTCTTTTAGGGTTAACAAAAAACGAAAAACCTATAAATAAAACGTAAGCGATAGTTCTACACTTGGTATAAAGGTTATCTAAAACTTTATATCATATTTATCTTGATAATCTCTTCATTTCCTGCAACTTTTTGGAGTATATGCGTCATTCAGGGTATGTAGTGACAGGGATATACCAGCCGAATTCTGATATTCATAAAGAGTTGGTTCTAAAAAAAAAACAAGATGCTAAAAAGAATAAGATATTATAAGGAACAATCTTTTCTATCCCATTCCCTTTAAATAAAATCTGTTTTGTAACATGGAAAGACAATATACTGGTTTTAGCTCAATCTACGGTATATGATAGGAAAACTCTTGTCGATAAAATACAAAAACAACCGAAATCCACCTCTTCGAGAGTTAAAACAGTTAGAGTAGTATTCGGAGATGATTCACTAAAAGAATTACCTATTCCGACTCTTTTTGATAACTATAATTTTTATATAAATAGTGTCGATATAGGGGATCAATTACATTCGTCCAGGCCAGGGAATCGACGACAACAATATGGAGGCCATCAAGCTTTAGAACAATGGCTTTTAGTTACTGCTTTAGTGAATTGCTATCTGATTCAAAAAGAGATTGTTTTGAAAGACGAAAAAGCGAAATCTCTTCGGTATGATGATTTTCGAAAATCTATTGTTGATGGATTGATTGTCGAATTTGGACCTAAAGCTCATTTTTGAAGATTTAAAGAAACTCAAACAACTTCACTTTATTCCCCTATATTATTTATTCAACATCAATTTGTTTATATGGATAAAGTAAGGGAGTGTCGAGCTTGTAAAGGTTAATTTTATAGTCAAGAAAGAGTGATTTTAGGGGAAATATCGAATAATTATAGATGGGAAGGCAAGAGGTATGAGAGTGTATAGGGATGCAAAGAATGTAATATAAATTTATGTAATAATAATAGATGTTTTAATAGTTATTATAGAATATAATCCAAATATTATGAGCAAGCTGGGAATCCTGATGATCTGATTGGTCACTTAGACCCCTGTTAAGCGAACCCGGCCGTATTCAGCGGTCTAGGGGATATGGAAAACAAGATTAACAGTCTTGATATAGCCTGGGTATTCAGCAAATCCGGTTGAGTATGTTTGATAAATGATTTGTATATAGAGTTTGATAAATGGAAGGATGAATAATTAATTCTGATAGAATATCTATTTGTTAATTAGTTTACAATCTTGAAGAGCTATTTAAAGATCTTTTCTGATTGTTAGTGGCCAATAATGAGTGGTAGGATTCTAAAGTGTTTTGTATATACTAATAACTAATACAGATAAATCATATATTTTATTGATGAAATTGTTAATTGGCTTTTCAGTATTAAGGATAATAGTATTTATAAGGGCTATAACAAGGTCTGTAATATTGTTTGTTTGTTTGATAAAATCTCTATATACAGTTATATCAAATATTTGTTTTGGGAGTATTATTTGTAGACAATTCTTAATTTGATTATTGTTGGGGTTAGTATATATAGGGCAGTCTTTTGCTTTTCGGCTAAAAGTATTAGAGCAAATTGTTTTATAATCTGATTGATATATAATATGAAAGTTGAATTCTAAAAGAAATTCTATTTATCTTATTTATTTCTGGTTCAATATTTTTGTTAATGTAAAGTACTCCAAATTCTTATAGTTGATAATAATCTCAAATAGTTTTTGAGTTTTATATAGTTTAAATCTCTATTCCTCTAAAGATTTAATAATTGCTAGCAATTCCTTATTATAGATTTTATAATTATATTCAGTTGTATTATATTTTAATAAAAAATAAGTGATTAATTGTAATTGGCTTTTATTGTTATATTGAGAGATAACTCTTTCTACAATCTAATCGAAAATATCTATTTTAATAACTGTACAATAATAGTAATTGAATATAATAAGAATTGGAGTAAAGATAAACATTTGTTTTAGGTTATTAAAAACAGTTTTGTGATTAGTGGTTTATTGTTATATAAACTTCTTTTTCAATAGATAATTAAATAATTCTATAATCTTAAAAAAATTGTAAATAAAATATTAATAGAAATTAGTAAATCTAAGAAAATGTTGAAGGTTTTTTAATTTTATTAATAACTTTTAATTGAGAATTGTTTTGATTTTATCTGGGTTTATTTCGATCCTATTAGGTGTAATAATCAACTTGAGGTATTTAGTTTGTATAGTTTCGAATTTGTATTTTTCAATATCAATTTGTAAATCAGTATTAATTAATTTCTGTATAATCTTATAGATCTGCTTTTGATAATTTGTAATATTAATAAAATAAATCAAAATATTATTTAGGTATATAGTATAATTCCTATCCAAAAAATTGAAAAGGATATAATTAATATAGTTTTGAAACGAAATAGAAGTATTGTAAAGATTAAAAGGTATTATTAGGAATTCAAAAAGGCTAAAGCGAGTTATAAAAGCTGTTTTCTACTTATATCCTTTTGTAATTCTTAATTTATTAAATATAGTAATAATATTCAATTTGATATAGATTTTTGTATAATATAAAGTATTAAGAGTTTCTTTAATTAATAATAAGGAATATCGATTCTTGATAATAATATTATTTAATTCACAATAATCTTGATAGATACAAATACCTTTTTTAGGTTTTGCAATTAATAAAAGTGGAATAGTCGATCTGAAATAGGATTTGCAAATAAACCCTTTATTCAAGTTATTGTTAAGCTATTTATATATAATCTGAAGTTTAGTTGAGAATATCAGATATCCTTTATTATATGATGGTTTCTTATTTGATATAAATTCGATCTTGTAATTTCAGGAATATCTAAAGGAAAATTTATTAGTAAATAAAAGCAGGAATTCTATATATAAATTATACAATTAAGATGGTAATCTGTTTTGAATATTAATTGTAGATAGTATTAGACAATCAGTCTTCTTTATGAATTTCTCAATATCGTTTTCTATAATACTATAATGTAATTGGATAGAGTTGTTTACTAGTATTTGATATAGTTTGTAAATAGTGTTTAGTTTGTTTCAGGTTAGTTTTGTAATATATATATTCTGATCTTTATAAAACTGAATAAAACCAATAACAATAAGGTATCTAATATTGTTCAACTCTTATTGGATGCTATGCTTTTTATTAGGCTTTTCCGGAGATGTTGAGATCTATAAAGTACTTCTGAAGGTTGACTCGGGCATCTCTAATTTAAGTGTTTCTGAGGTTTCAATGATAGTTTCAAAAACTATAGATTGATTTCAAAATAATAATGAAATAGTTTCAAAGTTTTTATTAGTAATTCTTTTTATAGAGATTGGTTTTGGAATAAGCTTTTGTAAAGGAGATTCAAGAGTATTGAATATAACTTTACTACTTTTTAGTAAAGTTACAATAAGCTTTTGTAAAGAAAGTTCAGAGGTGTTAAATATAACTTTGTTACTTTTTGGCAAAATTATTTTTGAAGTACTTTTTATATTGGAAATAGTAATTGCTATAGTGTTAATAGGGTAATAGTATCTTAAGTAATATATAGATATAAATTTGAATATCATTATTGATCAATCGATAGTGGGATTATAATATTGAAGTTATGGGAGATTGAGGATTATCGGGTTTGTGATTGATAAAGTAGTGATATAGAATAGATCTATCTCTTTGTGATTGTTGATATATATATTCAGAAATATATATTGAGAAAAGATATCGGAGAGCTTGTTATCAGTTAGAAGTAAATAACGAATATAAGAAAGAGAGGGTATAAATATTCAAAGCTTAAAAACAACTTTCTTATTAATAAAGTCATAACCTATAGTTCTGCTATTTATAAAATTAACAAACAGGATAATCATATTAAATACAAGGAAGATTTCTGTTGAGATTTTAAGAGATTTGTTATTTATTGATTTAAGATATAAAGGATTTCTAGATATAATCAATCTTTTAATTTATAAAGGTAAATTTCCTATAAAGGATCTCGATTTACAATTATAAATTGAGATTAATCTTTTAATATATCCGGCTAAGAAATCAAGCTGCTATTTTCCTTTGAATAAACAGAACCCTCGATATAACCTTCTAAATCAAATACTCGAGTAAGGCCAGAAAGGATCGAAGAAATATAGTGTAATAGTATGGCTGAAGAATGGTTGGCAGATGGAAACGAATTCTGGTATAAAGGGATAGCAGTGTTATGATAGAGTTCGGAATTCTTATATTGATTAATTATAGGGAAACGATTAGTATAAGGAGTATATCTTGTATTAGTATTAATACTATACTTTGTATTATTAATTTGTTTTTTCTTGTAATTGCTTTTAATATGATCTGGTTTCTTGTAATAAAGGCAAAGGCTGAGTTCGATATATTGCTTTCGAATGTAACGAATTGGGAAGTGCTGATCTAGTCGAATAGCATTCAATTGTATAAAATTGCTAAAGAAATCAGGTATAGAAGGAGGTATAGTAGTGGCCAGCTTTTTATTATAGGGTTTTGATTGATTATAATTGAAATTAGTATTTTAATTTTTTTATTAATAATCGAGATAATTGCGGTTGAAGTTGGTACCTTGATTCTTTCATTGATTATCGAGATAAGCTTTTTCCTTCAAATCATTATAAATACTTTATCATTAAATTATTCATATTTCAATATTAGCAATAAAAAGTTTATTTAAATAATTAATAGATATATTAATCAATTCTTATAAAACTTTAAATTTAAAATCTATAATCTATTATTCAGTAATCTTTTTATATCTAATAATAAACTATTTAAATTCAGTAATGAAATTGTCAAACAGAGTCTTTTTTATTCTATATTTATTATAATTTATAGAAATCTTATAAGAAAGGTCAAGAATTTGATATTACTTATTCAATTTGCTTTAGATGCTTATAATAGTATATTATCTGGAAGGCTAAAAATCGAAATCATACAGATTATCAATAATTGTATCGAAATATATTTAATTATTTATATAAACAAAATTAGAAAATAGATTAATAAGGAATATAATTTTCTGAAATTCCGATTCGTTTTTATAATTTATAATTAAATAATAATTAACAATATTGTAAAATACAGTATATTAATCTTAGTATTTCATAATATTCTATTTATTATTACTAAACTTCTTGAAAGCAATAAGGTACTTACAGCAATACAAAGCCTGTAGATTGTTTCGAATAATGATTTTCAATACACTAATTAATTTATCTAATTCATTAATTTTAGCCTAAACATTAGTGATTTGGGTTTGGAATATACTTATATACAACTTGATCGATTCAAATACAATTTGAGTAATTACAAAATATACAATGCTTAGATTGTTAAATAGATTTATAAATAAGAAGATATCGATTTCAATAGAGTTGAGGATATAGTTTAAGAATAAGAATTAAGAGGATAGGTCAAATGCAGATGTCTAGTCGGCTATAATCGCAATTAAGATTCAGAACAACAGTAATTAGAGTATATAACAAGGCAGTAATAGATCCGATTAACTCAATTAGATCAGAACTTTGGCGGGTTTGAAATAGAAATGAAGCTAGAATAGCTTTTAAAGAGATAGTACAAACTATTAAGATATAGATAAAGACTTATATTGTACTATAAGAATGGAAGAGCTATGGAAGGGTAAGGCCCTCTTATAGGAAATAGAGCATGCTAATAGTGTATGCCTGAGGCATGAAGGCAACGTAGTTGGCGCCGTGACAATAAGAGATTTATTGAATATTGAAATTGTGAAATAAATTATTAGGGAATTATTTGATTTGTAATATTCCTAATAAATTAAAGTAATAAATATTAATAAATGTTTTTAAGATTATTATATATTGATTATAAAGCAGCTTTTTGATGTTTTATGAATAATATCTTTAACAAATCTTTATTATTATCTATCCTTATTATTTTTCAATATTACTTAAATATTTTCAATATTATCTCAAATATATTAGCCTCAATATTTTTGTCATTTTAATAATATTATAAATTTCTCCAAATAAATAAGAAAACGAACCGAACGCACCCTAAAATGACAAAAATATTGAGGCTAATATATTTGAGATAATATTGAAAATATTTGAGTAATATTGAAAAATAGCAAGAGTAAATAACAATAAAGATTTGTTGAAGATATTATTTGTAAAGCATTAAAAAGCTGCTTTACAACTAATATATAATAATCTTGAAAATATTTGTTAATATTTACTATTTTAATTTATTAGAAATATTATAAATCAAATAATTCTCTAATAATTTATTTTACAATCTCAGCATTCAATAAATCTTTTATTTAAGCTTAATAAGTATTATTTATTAAATAAATAAGATCTAATAAATAAAATATACTGAAATTAATCGATCCGAACGCACCCTTAGATATGCAATGGTTAGATATAGATATCTATGAAGTTTTTATTTTAATTTATTTCTTGCTTTTGGTTTCGGGGAAGGGGGGTGGGGTTTGGAGGGGAGCTTTTGGGTGTCTGGGACTGATTGATTCCAGGAATGTATATACATACCTATTTGAATGATAAAATACTATAAAGAGAATGAGCGAATAAATAACATTGAGTGAGATGACGGGGTCGACGAGGAGAAATGTTGGGGAGGGAGTTGATGATAGAGTCGAGGATTATATATTTTTGAGCGCTGGATTGTGTGGAGATTATGATGCATTGAAGGGAGAGAGAGGGGGGATAGAGAGATATCTATGTCTTTAGGGACAATAAGACGGGGTTTTTGAGATATCTATGTGCTATGTGGATGAGTGGGTGTGTATGGTTTGGGAAGTTCTCCTGTGGTGTTGATCATTGTTGGGATGGGAGTTGGAAATAGGAAATAGGAATTGGGGAAGTTGTATTGTATCTGTATAGTTTCTGGGATGGTGAAAGAAAGACATGTTCTATTCAAGAATGACAACTCTTTTTCTCACTGTCACTATTTTTTGGTTACTACCACTACCACTGCCATTGTCATTGTCACTATCTTAACTAAATGACAAGTCTCCGGTGGAGATCGAGAAGTCGATTGCTTGCTTCTCTTGACTCTAGCATGGAATTTGATACCGAATGGGAGTTTGGAGTATCCATGTATATGGTCTCCAGAAGAGGAAATCCTATTCGTCACTCTCCGTACGCTTGGGTCGGTGTTTTTAGAGATTCTCATCTAGAAATCAGTTTGCTTATATATCTGAGGATGGGATTGAAGTAGGTGAGCTAGTGTGAGATTTGCGGGAGTCGGATTTTGAGATTCACTCTTTCGGAATCATTGCTCGGTGAGGGGGTTTTTGGGATGGAGTTGATGATTGGGAGATGGAGAGGGTTTCTCGTGGTATATAAGACTATGCACAGGCGACCAAGGCAAAAGGATAAGGGAAGAACAGCAAAGCAAACAATAATCGAAATGGGTTTCTCGTCTTGCCAGCTGAGTAGGATGTAGTTTGAGGTGTAGCAATGAAATAGGATTGCCAGATTTGAGGTCTATAAACCTAAGAGCCCTGGTAACAAGTAACGAGAATACATAAGGTTAACTCGGCAGAGAGAAATTACTAGTAACAGCAAACATCACATCCTGTCGTAGGTCGAAATGACAGCAAGAATCTTGACATTCGGTCTGAGTACCTATACAAGACGGGCTACACTTGAAAATTATTTTATAATTAGAAATGACAAGTGGGAATTCAAGAGATGTTGCAAAAGTATGGATTATGAAGTCCACATAGGTTGCTAATCTCGACATTGGAGTTTATATTTGGAAGTTAGAATTCAGACCCGATGGATGTATTTATACCTACAGGAACGTGACTTGAAGACAAGATATTTCGTTCGGTTATTTTGTTTTCAGCCCAGGAAAAGATAAAGTGTATATAAACCGTGTTTTCGTATCAACTTATTTTTCTTCCCAAGAATTGCTGGTACGAGTGGATACATTCAAGTTTATGTGGATAGCAAGGGAAAGAGAAGAGGATAGAGAAATGAGATGAGATATTCTGGATAGAGGTATCGCGGAATACATGTGTTGAGCGAGATGAGATATATTTCATAAGCCCAAGTACAGATTAAGTTTGGGAAGTCAAGCGATAGACTGCTTGACAGTAACAACAGCAATTGATGATATGATGGGAAGAAAAATGACAACCGATATACTCTTTTCATTACAAATTGGTTTGTTATTGGATCCTCCGCGTAACACACAACCAGTACTGTGGACACCAAAAACCTAATCGTATAAAATAAGTACCGCATCATCGAGAGCCCAATCACAAGATAATGTGGCTGTGACATATATTGCCAGGTATTTCAGATACTTTTATTTATTTGGTTCTTTGTTTTTGCTTTAAAAGTGATATTTATATACAAAGATACAAGGCTTCGAAAACTTTTGCATAACCTAACAGAGAAAGAGGCGTGATTTCAATAGTCAGGATAGGAAAATAGCTGGAGCCAAGTCTACTCGCTTGATTTTCTGCGATTTCTCAATCATAGTGTACATAAACCACGAAACCTGGATGTGGAAAGAGTATAAGGTATTTGTATCTCAGATGAGGATTTTGATAACAAGGAAATTGGTGATTCTTAAATAGCTTGAAACTTATCTGTATCCATTCTTCAAATTTTGGAAGTTGGCTTTGTACTCGTAGATGGTTTGAATGATGTGACCGGAGAAAAAAAAATTGACGACAAAAAGACTGCATTTCCCCCAAACGATAGTGAAAGATAGTTGTCATGTTTGGATTTGTATTATGTGCTGACATTGCGCGACAACGATATTTGTGTGCTAGAAAGCATAATTTAAGAGTTCTGGAAAAGAAGAAGAGCTGCCATAAAGCAGCCCAACAGTTCTGGTGGACGATTTTAGGTTAGATCTAAGCGAGTTCCGAAAGTTGAAGCAGAACACCAACGTTGAGTTAAAACATACGGGTTATCTCAAAGGACATCATACTTGGTCAAATAGATCCAACTAATTTTCAGATCATATACTACAAAATGAACCTCGTATCCAAAACCCCGGCGCCAAAATTACTCGTCATGGCATCTCGTTCCCGTTCAACGGTCTAGGCGTCTCTGAATTATTAGAAGCAGACGCGTGAGGCGTTTCTGAGATATCGAGCCCAGGATAGACTCTTATAGATCTCTTCTCATGCTTGTTTTCATCTTCCTGAACACTATCCTCGGTACTATTATCTTTAAGTTTCGTTAATTTTCGTATATTTCTTGTCTTTATCATATTTCTACAACCAGAAAATGATAATAATGAGCAGCTTAAGTATTTGAATCTCCCTCTATACATGCAGACGAATCTTGAGATATCTAATATGCAAGCTATGAAGATGCCGAGAAATTTCTCAAGCAGACTGAAAGTTCGGAACCATTAGTTACGCATGAATGTACTCGTCTGAGATCTACTCACCTGACAAGTGCAACGACTGCAAGATTCCACAACACATCATCATTATCGTCATGTCGTCAAGTCTTAATCGGTAGATGGTACTCGGAATCGATCCAATAGTAGCACTAATCATCTATCAGTATGCTTCCCCCCTCATGGATCGACTTTGACATACATGAATCCCGTGGCGAATATCAACCCCACGCCAATTTTCTTTCTCGGCGTTAGTTTTGACTTACTTACAGCAATCAATGGTATTATAATCACATGTGTATCAATTGTAAACCCCACAGTAGCACGAGGTAAACTTAATGTTTGCATGCGGAAGAAAGAATCCCACAACATTTGATGTCTCCATGGTACACCATTACGCGGGATTCCCCAGATCAATGCCAGAATTAGATGGATTGTGTAAAAGATTGACGATATGATAGCACCGAATGTGCAAGCTATTTTGACCCAGCTCTCGGTGAAGAATATTTCTATGTAAGTTTTGAAGAGTGAGTTTGACGAAACCCAGAGTCGTGGGGTTGATGGTGTAGGTTAAAATCAATGGCTAGATTTGAGTGAGTATTGTGATGAAAGCATTAACTGGATATATTCAATTTGGTGAAATGAGAATAGAAAAATTTGGAAGACATACAATTATGCTGCGGTTGGCAAATATTGCGGACAGGGGAATGTCATATTGGTGGTAACCAGTTGTCCCTCCAGGGGTAACGGCTACTTCAAACTTAGTTTCTATTTAACATCAAGCAGATGTAAGTTTATAATTAGACGTACTTAAAACTGTAGTTATATATGCAGCTATCGCCAGAAGCTAAATAGTTAGCATTTGAAAATCTGATCGAGTACGCCACGCACAAAGCTTAGAGAAGTAGTCACTGAGCTTCGATTAGTTTTTTGTTTCCAATATCATACAGAGAGGATAAATCCTACAATCACTCCAAAGTGATTTGACTGGACGAACATTCACGAGTTTTGCCCATGCCCGAATACATATACAGATTGATCCTAAAGCCATTAATAAGGTAGAGACTACTATGACGCTTTCTCGTCTGGATGCTCGGTGCTGAAAATTTGACATAATTCCCGGTGGAGGGGTTAAGCTCGGGATGTTTTCAAGGACAAATTTTGGTTGATCTGACATATGGATAGCGAGGGATTGTGCACCTGCACCTATTTGCCTTAATACTTCAGTAATTGGCGCCATGATTGTTGGATGCGAACGAAGTGAGAGTATGAAGGTGTTGCAATAAAATTGAACAAAGCAATTTTACGCCAATGTGGTTGAAACTTCTCGAATGAAGGAAGTGAAAGGTTTTCTACTTAAAATTTCAATCGCCTGAAGAATCAATGATATTCTAAGGAAAATCCTTTCAATTGTGTTTTGGTAATAAAGAAGTTATGGAAGTTGGCGACGTTAGCAGTAGCAATATTCAAGAGAGATAGATTTGATGACAGTGACTACTAAGAAGCTAGTGAAAATTGCATGTTGGTAAATACCAACTAAACCGAAAATCAACAGTTGTGTGAAAGGAAATGGAACCCCAACAATGCCCGGAGTTTCTGTTCCTCTATAGATTCCATACAATAGGATTGTGAGGACTCTTTCAAAATTCATTTCTATATCTCTTTCCTTTATTTAGCACTAATAGGAAGCTTGAGCAGCTATTTAGTTCAGTTACAAAGGTTAGGCACATGAACGAACTATTAATGACATTGAGTCCACAGAGATTTTCTCTCGACAAGGGAAAGAAGGTAGAGGTGACAACTTAAGATTACTGTATATCGTGATTCTCTCGTTGTGTCGAGTGCTTTCTCTTTCCATGACTTCCTCTCTTTTCAAAGACATGTCTCTTGTCTTTCCCGATCACTATGCCTCGATCAAAGAAACTGCAATCAATATAGTATAGTATGGGTGGTATGGGGGATTCACTGAACCAGAGGGAAGTTGACCCATTAGCAACTACTACTCGAACGTAGATTTCCTTGCCTCATGAACTCCTCAATCAGATTTTGCGAACGGAATAAAAATACTGAGTATGCTCGTCAGTACACAGAGGTTTCTCGAGGTCAATCCGCCCATACGTAAAGGAACCGGAAGAATAAAGATTGAACAATCTTCCAAGCAACAACATTAGCATCACGTAGTTCACAAAGCTTGTATCTAGCAGCCAGGTCAGCAGCTCAAAGAAATAAGAGGCACATTTTTTGTTGTAGTCATAGTATCACATTCATATAGGAAACATTTTTTTTGTAGGTAAAAACCTCTTAAATTTCCCTTTCACTCGAAAGGGTATTTGATTCATTTAGATTCAACAAACAACAAAGGAATTTTTTTGGTATTTTGTACTTAGATCAACGATTAAAAATGAAAGGACTACCTCTCACCTATTGTTTCTCGACCAGCGAGTAAACAATCTTCCGTATCTATCCATGAACCATAACAACACTCTCACTCAACTCCAACCCTGGATTTCCCGTGAGAAACTTAAAGACGACGTCTCTATAATCTCCCTGTAACTGAATGACTTCACCCCAAGTCTCGTCTTCAACAATTTTGCCCGCGCACGCGAGGGCCTTCTTGAAGTGTTTAACGATCTTTTTCTTCTCGAACTTCTCGGGAAGTCCTTCGATGGTGGTGACCCAATGGGGTTTTCTCTTTCCATCTTTACCGATCTTAGGTCGTCCTTGAGTTTGCTGAGCGCGAACGTGAACCAGCTTGGCTTGTTTGAGATCGACTTCTTCTGCTTCCGCGAATGGGTCGAAGAATTGGGGTTCATCGACTTGGGGTGAAATCTCTAAGTATGGGGTCTCGGGAAGCTGGGTGAGTTGGTTCTGGATCTGGACCTTGCTCTTCCTGGTCTTCTTGGTCTTGTTTCTAGTCTTGGCTCTGAAGACGTTGTCTTTGGGGACGCTAATTTGTGACATGTTGAAGATTTTGTGGGGGAAGTTGGTGGATTAGCTGTGGTATGGTATGATAAGTAGATGAATCTATGAATGATGAGAATATTTCTTGAGAGTCGTCGGAGAGCTGGCTTTTATAGAATTTATGAGACGTAATTCTGCAGTAGATTAAAATATTAATGCTATTGTTCAATCAGATTTCCAAGATTGTTTTGTTTCTGTTGACAAGTTCCTTTGTCAAGCATGAGAATGAATTTCTCAAGGAAATTCCACCGTGTACCCATGACGAATTACTATGAGAGATTAAACTCATCTATCACCCACGCTATAGATTCGAAGGAAGCCTTGATATTTTTTGCTATATGAATAGAAAAGCACATTGAATTATTTGAGTTTGACTTGATGTAAAGATTTACGGAACCAAATAATGTGAGAGAATTGATATTGGCTTACCTGGCGAAGTCTGAAATCCTCTATCTCCAGGATCCATCAACCAAAGCCAACTCAAATTCTGGAAATTCCAATACCCTTCCAACCCCGACATATAACTTGGAGTCTACGTTTCATATCATTCAGAGCCCTAAAATACAATTACTGCATCACCAAAATTGACAGCTGCGAAGTTACTCCCTACAGAATATCTTCAGATAATCCCTTTTCAATCATCTCGCCCATCATTGTTGCTCAGTCGCAGCCGGACATCCACTAGAATGAACATAAAAACCATGAGCTCCCTGAATCAATCGAGCCCCTTCAAGGATGAGTGGTGGAAGTGACGTAGCCTTCCGGTACAAACATGACCATGTCTTACAACCTGCGAGCTTGCACGCACTACTCACACCTTGCCTCCGGCAGAATATAGACGATGCTGTGGTAAAAAGCTCCTTGTACCCAATAGAAACCAATTTATATGAATAACGCAATCTTATACGATGTTATAAACTTGTGTCTCTTGGAATTCTAATCATATTCACGTCCTACGGGAAATTGTAATTTCGCAACAAATGAGAAATCAAAACATAATACATCCTATTCGCTTCCTCTTGGATCTTTGATATGGCTTATGCTCCTGCAACAAATCTTTTCCCTGGGACTCATTAGTAAATTGGTTATGCTTACGTCGATTACACAAATCACCGGAGAATCAAGTAAGGTAAAACAAATTGTGTAGTTATGACTACCGACCCTGGCAGCAGGCCCGCCGAGCAATTTTTGGAAAGTAATTGGTAGAATAAGATTTAGATTTCACATTTAGATTATGTAAACAGCTAGTATCAATCACAAAATTCCTCATTAAATGATTATGCTCCCAATCCTAGTACCAATATTTTCTCCTGCCCGTCAGTCCGTCACTCGGTTATCATGACCCCCCTTTTCTCCATCGGCTATCTTGTTAGCTTTGCCCACCCCCACCATATGTACACCGCTTTTGAGAATTCCCTAGTCTTCTTAGTAATTCCAGTCTATCTCTAGTTCCCGAGTGTCCCTGGATCCGACTTCTATTCCGGTTCCATGCTAATAATTAGTTAGTTTAGGTGCCAGAACAGAATTTCTATTCTCACCGCATTCGGGTGTGTATCGGCCCGTGAATCCCTCGACATACACCTGATCGACCTTTTCGATTGTCATTCCCCAAAGTGATTCGATCTCTCATGGCAATACTAAATACATCATCACAGGACTTCTCCTGTATCTGATAGTTCATCTTCACGTCCAGAAATTCCTTCAGCATGAGACGTCTATAAACCTTCTTGATCTGTCCTAAGGCAAACTCAAAAATTAAAAAATTAGAGGAAGGGTAGTTATTCGTCCAGCATCACTGATTGGGACGCAGATCTATGTGCGTTATCCCGGCTGTACAATGTACAAGACTTGTAGATTCTGGCATTTGAATTGTAAAAGAGGGATCGAAATTTTGAATCATAATGATCGAAAATGATGACGAAAACGTGAACTAAAATACTACACTCACAGACAGCTTGATCCTTCTAGGTCCATACAAACATCCATAACTCTATAAAGCAACCCCTTCATCAACCAACATCTACGTCCCAAATTTCCAACATCATAGAAGACTATTGTGATTTCATGCCATGCGAATTGAGTCCTATAAACTATTCCTTTTAGCTAAGACATACTTCCACATCCTGCATTAGGGATCTCAAATTTGTGGATCATATACACTGGCATGTCTCACTATCTTACTAAATCCTGAGAACAATAACCACAGCGTGTATGATTTTAATCAACTCACTCCTCTCAATTCTCCATTCCCATCTCCCCATTCACATCAATCTCGAAGCCCAAAGAAAGGGTACTATCGCAAAACTAAGAGAGGTGGTAATAAAGAAGGTCTGTAAATTCTAAGCTCTTCGTTATGTGTATTGTAGCTTCTGTGATAAGGTGAGATGAGCTTGGAATTCCAAGAGGAAAATACGATATACTCATCATATCAACCACACTCATATGGCAAAATGGGAGAATAGAAACATGAATACTGCATCTTGATTACAGACAATGATATCCCATATCATCGTACGTCATTCCACCTGTGATCTTATCATCATTCCCAACACATAAATCATAGCAACCACCGTTCTTCCCATCCCACTCTGCCAATAACCTCACCACCCAGTTGATTTATTCACAATACGAATTCAATGTTATGTATACCTTTCTGCTCTTCGAAAATGTAATTCAACATACACATCTACTGCACAACCCAAGGATGAACTTTAGCCCCTCCCTTGTTTCTGATCTCACCACTAACCCTGAACTTGCAAGAACTAATGTCATACTCTCTAGCTCACGCACACAGCGTGCTTATATTCGACTCCCAAACCATTAATGAAAACGCTTAATGTTATACATGTGTAATAGGAGGACAGCTTTGAAAACGCCCAACTCTCAATTTCATCCTACCTCATCACAATCCATCGAATCGCATCATAGCACCTTATCACAATATTGAGAACAAGTACAGATATAAACCAATTTATTAATGAAACTAGCCTCCCCTAGCGCGGTGCAAATGCCGCCAACGCCCAGGCGCCAACCAGCCGCCACTATAAAATAAACCAGATATGACAAGCGGTCGAGCTTTCATTGGTATGCAACTACCATCCATCCATCCATATCCATACCCATAGCACGCCACCCAATCATTATTTCGTATCTTCAACAATCCATCACCCCCTTCGCTTCCATTCCCTGAAGCATTCCAACCTAACCACAATAATCCATCACAGAATTTTCACCAAGAAGAAGAATATACAAGCACCAAACCAAACTAGCCCCAAGAGCCTACTACCCATTCCCCTCCACTTCAATCCCTTCAAGAAATAGAATTAACGACCATACCCTCCCCCTCCCATTTTATCGATACTACTCAATAAATTGCTACTCGTTCTGCCCGAAAGTCCACTACCTGGTCTACTACCTTGACTAGCCACACTCCCATGACTTCCTTTTCTCTCCCTTCCAGCCGCGCCTCCGATTCCCATTCCCATTCCCATTCCCATCCCAATCCCACCTCTGCCGATCCTACTTCCTCCAGCCGCACTTGGCGCTCTCAACCCACTTGGTCGAGTAACACTACTTGTTCTCGCTAAAGTGGGGCTCTTCATTTGGCTTTCAAAAACATGTTGTTTCTTTTGCGAGGCGGGTGTTTCTGGGATCGGAGATGCTCGAGCTGGAACAGCCTTCTTTTCCTCCTCAAGATTTTTCGCAACCATGTCGTCGAACATTGCGATCATTGGAATCATTTCATCAACAGCCTGAACCAGCTTAGTCTTCTCGGCTCTTTCCTCTTCAAGCATATGTCGGAGGTCATCGTTGTCTTCCCTGACACTCCTAATTTCCATGCCCAGGCCCTCGAGTTCTGCCTCCAATTCCTTGGTTCTAGCATCGCGTGCTGCTTGTTGTTCAATATCCTCCGCCGAGGGTTCCGCTTTAGTTGTCGTGGTGTTGCCGCCCAACCTTAATTCTTCGTTCTCCTTGGTGAGATCCTCAACAGTAGCTTCCAATTCTTTAACCTTCTTATCCCAACGACGTTCATAGCTTTTCTTGAGAGCTTGGACTTTAGTTTCGTGCTTCTCCTTGTAAAGGGAATGTAACTCTCTGGATACCTTCTCGACCGCAAGTTCGACAGTTCGACCTCCGCAGTGGCATTCTGTTGGCGATTTCAAAGGCGTTTCGACAGGGGGTGAAGTAGCTCCAGGTGTAGCTTTTCCTGCACGCATAGCTGCTAAGTTCCTCTGCGCTTCTTGAGCCATAATCTCAGCCATTTCTCTTCTTCTCTCACTTTCCTCCAATCGACCATCCAACTCCTCACGTTCTTGCTCTGTTTGAACCATTTCTTCTCTAACATTCCTCAACACAGCTTCCATTTCCCGACCTCTCTTCTCCCACTCCTCTTTCTCAGCCGCCAGTTGATCTTGTATATTTCGTTCTTCTCGTAATTGTTCCTGACTCTCCCCAACTCTCTTTTCCGCGTCGCCAACGGCCGTTTTCATGAACTGCAATTCAGCTTCCTTTCCGCTCAACGTAGCTTTCAAGTTACTAATCTCCGATAAGAAGTCTGATTTCAATCTCTCGATTTCTCTAGGTGTAATGGAGGGTAAACTCCTAGGTGTAGGCGCAGGAGGAATATCAAAATCGAGCAAGTTGCTCATGCGGTTTGATTTAGGTGTCGCGGCAGTACTTGGCCCATACCAATGTTCAGGTGCAGAAGTTTTTGAAGGTGACATTGACATCCTATTCCTTGAAGGTGAGGGACCGCGACCGTTGAACCCATTCATTTGTGCGGTAAAGTCAAGAAGGTTAGTGGTATTCCCATCATCTTTGCCTTTAACATTTCTATGCCCGTATGGTGCTGGCGAAAATTCCTCAGATGTATTCACTTGCCTGCGTGCCGTAGCCGGGGTACTGAATCGATGATTTTGTCTCGGTGTTGGTGCACCCATTGATGGGAAGTTCGGGCTGGTATGTCCGAGTTTTGAAAACGTTGTCAGATCTGGCATAGC